TTGAAGTTGACTTGACTTTCAACTTATAGTAGATACATTAGTGTCACACTTTATAACCCTCAATATTGCACAGGAAAGACAAATGTATTTACGACATAATATTTTTATAAATTTGATCTTTGTTTTGCTGCATTTTCTGCTAGAAAAATTCAACTTCGTAATCCATTTTATCCGTATTTCAAGTCAATAATATTTGCCTTCAGAGAGTGCGCAACAAGTAAGGTGTCGTTATGACCCAGAGAAGAGTGACTGATAAGATTCATTTGTTCCAGTTTACGGTTTGACGACTCCCCATCCTGGAAGTTATACTCATCTGCCAACCACATAATGTGGTGATGAGTGATTCATTATCTCTTGCATGTGCATCTGTGCTTATCGCACAAGTGTATAAAATTGCTCACAGGGGCGTATGTTTGCTCAGCTTCGAAGAGCAAATGGAATTTCTAGTGGCTCAAGTTACACATCAGAAGAATGCTTTAGCTTTCTTCCATTCTTCACATCATTTTACATCAATGCTCCATCATTCCGTCATCATCTTTTTTATATTATCTCATGAACTTCCCAGCAAAGACATCACGCCGAGCTGAGATTGAGGTAAAGGGAATGAAATGTTTTAAATAACAATACAAAATAATAGCTATAATAATATCAAATACAATCAATGAATACTAGTTGCATAATTATTGAAATTAATCTCTACGTGTAGGTTGGCACAATTATAGGTTTATCTTGTTATTGACAATTATAGTCCTATTTATAACAACTTTAATAATAATAATAATAATAATAATAATAATAATAATAATAATAATAATAATAATAATAATAATATGTTGGAAACTTGCCTGATGACGGGGCTAACCTGGCTCCGAACTTTCGCTAAGAGATGAAGTTAAGAATTTTCTAGAAAAAGGACTATAATTTATTGTCAATAATAAAACTAACCTATAATTTTACCAACTAGTTGATCAAGCGAAGCGAGATCCTTTTTCTAAACTCAACTATTCGGAATTTCCTGTCAGTAAATTTGTTTGTTTTGAGTCACGACCAAACGTGTTATTTAATTTTCTCCAAATTTAGCATTAATGTTCATGAAGTCATGAAAAAACATTAGAATAGTAAAATTCGTAAAAAAAGAAGAAACAGTGGGAGTGGTTGGAGCAAAATGCACAGGGGGCACGTGCATACTTGTTGTAAGTATATTGATAAGCATTTGTCAGTATTCATACATGTGTTAAGGAATCACCGGCCCTGCTCTTCTTGTCATGACGAAAATTTGAGGTAAAGAGTATTTTTAGAGTTTGGAATATAATTTCAATTAGTACATGCATTTTTCATGATGAAAATATTACGTAATTTTATGTACGTTTTGATGTCAAGTTCGACAGTGTAATGCTGACGATGTAACACTTTCATGTCGAGATTGTCTGTAATAAGGGCAGAAAACGAAGCTACTTGTGTGATGGGGAATTAGGCCAAGAGTACGCACACGCCATTAGGCAAGAATAAAAGAGCTTGCATTGTTTTTATACTTACGGAATATACGGAGAACGGGGTATTTTAGTTATTTAATGAAATTCGTGAAATATATTAGTAAAAAATGTTACGATATTACAATACCATACTTAGGACGTGATTGTTTCCCCAGTATGTTTCTTTGTAGTTCTTTGTTAGTAAAATACAATTCTATATTATTTTTTTTTACAATTTAGATTCACAGTTTTGGAATAAACAATTAGCTTGCGATTCGAAAATTGAATGAGTTTCTCTTTTGTTGGGGATAAAAGTTTTCAGGTGCATTCTTACGCTCCCGACGGGGAATGAATATGTTTGTAACAATAAATAAATTATTTATTCAATACAATTTATGATTCTTACTCGAATCACAGAAAGTGAACATAGAGTTAGAGTAATTCAGATGAGTAAATGATCTAGTAAAACTACAATACAAAGTTATGGGAAACAAATCACCCTGATTTAGTAATTCTTTATAATATGTATAAAAGTGATGATGATAATTCGATATTTTATTATGAAATTCCGAGATTATATTTACTTCTTGATAGAATGTTCTATTTTTCTGAGGGACTAGCGAAGACATTTCTTTGAACACTGAAGAGGAAGAATATATTCTGTTGCAAAGTATAGAAGAATCTCCATTTATTATTTTCCTCTTCAGAAACAGGCTTGTTTTAATACTTCATTATTTCATGAATCCTGTTTTTTTCCTTAATTTATTTGTGATTATGAAATCGTATTTTCCTCGCAAACATTAAATAATAAATATTTAAACATTAAATATTACACAACGGACGGACGGGCATTATGCCGTAATTCAATGTTTTGGAATTAATGACCCACAAAACCACACAACGTATTAGAAAAACTAATTTACTAGATGCAACACTTATCTACTTTTTCTATATCTGAAACCCACCCTTCCGTAACTGCCGTTCAGGTGGGTTTTCTATCACAAATGCCACATCTCCCTGCTGCATTATACAACTTTCTCATTGCTACACAGAAGAATGCGAGTAAGTAAAATGTACCTCACTGTCGTGTAAGATTGGCACTGCTCTGTTCGTAACACATTAAACCACTCAGGAATAGCTGCCGCCAAAACATGCCTCGTTTCACAATGTATTCCAGAGGACCCTGGTCTCTTTTACACTTCCGTAACTGCGTGTTTGCTCTCGCCTAGAACACTAACTCGATTCTCAACAATGAAGTCAGCACTTCGATAGGTTTCCGTAACAAGACAAAAAATACATGGCAACTTCAGCCTCTCCCAAGACAGGATTGGCGGTTTATGTTTCACATCAGATTGTGTCTGCTTTCTCAGCTGATTCGAATATGTCAACTGTGAAATCATGATATTTATGTTAAATCCATTTGACAAAAAGTAAGACTATGTTATTGATCAACTAGATGCTGCTGATCATTGAAAGTACTCAACAAGCAAACGAGGCAATTGCGAGAAAGAGAACAACTCAGCGAATAACACAGGAAAGAAGTGCTAACAACGAAAAAGTGCTAAGCAACTCACAACACAACACGCAAGCGACTACTCGTGGAGTGGAATATTAATGTCTCGCTAATGGAACATAATGAATTGCAGGACCTGAAAGATCGATGAAGCTTCAACTGTGGAAGGACATTAATTAGACGGAAGCTTTTCAATACAGAGTAAGGGTATACAGTGTTTACAGGAAATATTAGTGCTAAGAGATACTCTAAAGAATGCTATCAAAGAATTAGATCTAGGTAATAAATGTTGTTGTAACTAACTCATAGAACAACAAATGAGATATGTATTTTTGTGTATTCTTTCCCAAAAGTTGTAAAGCCATGAAAACTTTCTAAAAATTGATAATTTATATAATATTTAAACGTTCCGGTCAAGATGGCCGAGATGTTAGGGCAGTACTGCCGTAGCGAAAGATGACCAGATCCCGGGTTTGAGTCCCGCCTCGGGCATGGGTATATATGTCTATATGTGTGAGCCATCCTTTCATACTTAACTATCATCATCATCATCATCTCATCATCCATACTCCCAGGGCTAAGCACCTTGGGGGATAAAAATCGGGATTCAGCTAAAATGCTGATCCCCCCTCCCCGACAGATAAAGGTACTTGCACCTGCTGAAGCTGGATGCACGTGTGGTCGGAAGTGGTCTACACGTGAAAAAAATACACAATTCATCATTAAATATTGAGACACAAGATCCTGATTACTAAACCTTCAAACAAATATTCAGAAGGGAGTGGAAAGGTGAAGAAATTATAGATTATAGTTATTTATCTTACAAGACGCTAAAAAAATCATTACGGGCAAGTTGGTTAATTCTACATAAGCATGGTAGCCCGAATGTAAAATTACCGAGAGGCACATAATGGTCTTTCAGACACATGGAATATATATCGTTTTATTTTTATTATTTTTATTATTTTATTAACCATTATCACATTTTCCGTCTATATGCCCTGATTATTAATAATATAACATTGATCTTGGCAGTATTCATTATTGTATTTGATATAATGTGTCATTTTATCTACTGTGGGACGCTTTATTGAGACATTGAATCTTTTCCGAATAAGCGATGAAAATAGATATTATATTTAATTAAAAACAACGATAAAAATTTCAGATGAGAACAGTAATGGATAATAAGTTGTTAAACAGAAAACTTGTCGGTAAAGGAAAAAAAACATGCGTAGCTAATTAAAATGTGTGATAAACGAACTCTACTTTCTAGTAAATTTCCAATATTTTGAAGTAAAATGTTCGGCGTATGCACGCTTCATGTTTTTACCAGCTGTGTGAAAAGGAAAGCGTCATTGGATTGAATTGAACAGTACATCTAACACTATGTATACATATCATAGTTATTGCCCAGATAAAGATATATTGCACAAATATCATAGTTATTGTACATATAAAATACTTAAGTTTTTTCTTTGATTTACAGTTAAACTTTCTACCAGTTCCCTTCCCCTTTTCCCCTGATTTGTTGTGGTATGTTAATGTCGCTTTCCGTCTCGGAAATCATTTTTATACATTAGTAATCAATAATATTTTTATTATGACCTCTGTAAATCATTTTCACGACATAGTTGGCTTGCTCTTCGGAGTAATTTCATTAAAAATAAACATTAACAGATATGGTGAAATCTTACTAAAAAGAGAGGAATTAATTGTCTACATTGATTGTTTATTTTGCTCCTGAAGAAATTATTAGTCGTATATCATGGGGTTATTACGAATACTTTGTTCCAATATTAAATACGTACTTTAATTAATTAATTAATAATATACGCAAATTCACACCGAATTCTCATCTACCGCCACAAATGATACCTAACCGTGCCATCAGAAGATTTTTCTGGACATGAAATCAGATGACTTTTTTTTCCATGTCATGAGCGTGGTGTTTCACCTGCCGTTCCCTACTCTTCAATTCGGTGACCCAAGCCGCTGCCGGGAGAAGTCCCTACCTGCTGTCTGCCGCGTAGGCGGCCTCGTGCGGAGTGCGGGAACCGCGTGCCGAGGTGCTGGGAGCTGCCGGCGGCGGCGGCGTGCAGCCGAGGGGGGCGTGGTCCACGATCACCGCTCCGACCTCGCACGGCGCCAGGTCACCCCACGAGGTCCTTCTCCTTCGCGGCTCTCACCGAGCAACGCGCCTGGGGACGCAACCCGACAAAGGTTCACCGGCACAAAATATACCGCAAAGAGAGACAAACGTCTTCGCGCACCGCCTTCGGAAGTGTTAAAAATCAAAAATTAATGTCATTTGATTCGAAGTTCGCAGAAACACTCTATCGATTTAAATTTCAAACCAAGTTGGGAATCGAGTGGAAGAAATGTTATAATGAAAACAGAATCCACAAATTTCACGTTAGCGATTAAGTTGTCAACAAGCGGCCAGCGCCGGCACCGCTCGCGCGTGCTGCCCGCACAACTGCACGCAGCCGCAGACCTTGTCCTCGCGGCGGCACGTCGGTCAGTTCCCTGCGCGAAAGTCCCTGGAAGAGGCGGGCGACCACCAGAGCGGGGCGACGGGCGACGGGCGGCGCGTGGGCGAGCGCC